GACATCTTTGATACAAGTAACGAGTTCACTTCCAAGTGAACAACCCGATAGTCTTCTTCTTATCATAGCATACCAACCAGCGAACACCCAGCCAAGTTTAGTTAGCCAGTTTGAGTATTCGTTACAATAGACTTTTTATAAGACTTAATTACTTACCTAAAAATATACTTATTAACTTAATTTTTTTTTAAAATACTCCTTATATAATATAAATTTAATATATAATTAAATAATAGGGGGTTACCGTACTTTTGAATTCGTAGTATTAAGAGAAAGGTAGAGTTATTACGAATAACGTACCTAAAGTACGGACTACTAATTAGGCGAGGGGGGGGAGTCGATTTACTAAACCCTCGGGGGTTGATTTACCGGGCGCCTTCCAAAGGATATATATATATATATATTACTATTCAACTAAAAAAGGAGCTCTATTTGTTATAAAGTGGGAACTGAGAATGTGATTTTTACCTACGCCTGATTAATTATTGTCGTCTCCTGTATATGACCAACGTGAAACTGAGTGGTTTTATAGTATTTGTACTGCCTGTAGTTTAGGAGTACGTGTGCCGCTAGTCCAGAAGGCGCAAATGCGTGTATTTAAGGCTCTTTTGCGTAGGGTGAATGTAAGTGAGTTTAGGAGGCGCAAATGCGAGTATTTAAGGCTCTTTTGCGCGTCCTGGTGAGACGTGTGGGGGCGACATCGTGATATTATTGTTGTAGTGTTAATATAGTAGTGTAGATACTATTTTCAACTATTGATGTGGTGCAGCTTCCTATTGGTTGCTCGGACCGGAACTACCTTTTTGCGGGTCATGTGAGGATTCCAACTGGAATTCTAAATATTCTACTATTTGGAATGGAATATTCCAACATTTATACTATTTGGAACGGAATATTCCATAGGAGGGCCTTGGAATGGAATGGAATTACAAATGCCGAACGCTGCATGGGTATCGTCACCATAACTCTTCCTCTCCCTCGCCCTCTTAATCTTGATCCTCACTCCCATCTACTTCTTCATCATCCTCGTCATCCTCATCATCCTCTCTCACAAACCCCAACCTCTCAACCACAAAATCCGGAATCTCCCTCCCCTCCATCCCCTCCATCCTCCCAACCACCTCTCCAGCAAGCCCCCTCACCTCCCCACCAAACCTCCCATCCCTCACAACAGCCCCAAACTTCTCCTTCCAAGCTTCCCACAAATCTTGGGTAAACAGCTTCTCCATCGGTCTAACTCTAACCCTCTTCTCCGTCATCTCCCTCAGTGCCTTGGGTGCAAACAAAATCCATTGCGCTGCGGCACAAATATATGGCTCATATTCCGACGCCACTTCAATAGGATCCTTAGTCCCTGTGAAGCCGAGAGGTTTGGTAAAGGATTTGTTGCTTGAGGCAAAAGGACCGGTGAGTAGAGCGCTGAGGTTCGTTACTTCACATACCCCCGCTTCTAGGAGGCGGGCGAGGAAGGAGGAGTAGTTTGTATACGCATTCAGAACGAAATTCTTACTTTTGTTCTGCGTATCTCGTTTTGGGGGACGACAGATATCTACTCCGTAGCGTGATTAGGTCTATAAAGAAGAGAGGATGTGAAATTCCTCACTCTGATTCAAATCCCAAAGTAACTGCGCCAGCCCTGCATATCCATTCTCAGGCGTAATACAATAAATCTCCACCTCCCCCAGCTTTCCACCCGTCGCATCAGGCAATCTCACCCTGGGTATCGCCATGAATTCCTGAAGCATTTCGATCAAGTAATCTTGTCCTGCGTCATGGGGAGATATCTCCATCGCAGCCATGCCTACACAGCGAAATAGGAAATGAAGGAGATCGCTTGGCGCGGGGTATCTGATCTCGCCATTTTGGAGTTGGGAAGCTGTTGGTGTGGGGATGGAGGTGTATGAGAGGTAGGATTCTTGGGTGTCGGTGGTGATTATTTGGTGGATTTCTTGCGCTGTGTCTGTGGGTGTCTTTTTGGCAGTTAGGAATGCGGTGATGGTACGGTGGATTTTACGCGGTGCGGTCCAGTTGGGGTCTGTGGTTGCTAGATCGCGGAATTGTACCATTTTGAGGGTATTGATGGTTTGTTTTTTGGGGTGATTGGGTTACTGGGTTTGTGATGTGGATGTGTTTTCGCTACGAATCTATCTCTGTTGTTGCATAAAATACCGTAGAAACCCACGTCTTTTCTATAAGACTGTGTGAGCTCAAATTTCTGTCTCTACCCCCCCCCGGAGAGGATGTTGGAGTAAAGAGAGCACCTACTCAAAACTCATCTGCGCATTCCTGGTTTCTGGTCAGAATGAAGCATTGCTTTCGCTGAGAAATTTACAAACTTCAATAGTAGAAACTAGGCAGAAATCTATCCCCGCAACGTCAGTCCATCCAAGTGAATACCGCATGCCCTTTGAGAAATCCAGTCCTATCAAGGCTATATTTAGCATGCATACCCTCCAAATTTCTCCTCCGTAGACCCCGCATCTCGTCAAGCGAAGGTAGTAAAATTAAGATTTACCTTAAGCGAGTTCACGCAAGTTTGTGCGGGGCCCCAGTCCAGCCCCGAAGTCATACGAGTTCATCAAATGCGTGTAAAGCCGACGATTCTTGGATCTCACAACATGACATCCAAAGAAGACAAAAAAATGAGAGGGGGCTGGACTGGAGATGTGCAAAGTCCGAAAAAGTCTACCTAGGACATAAAGTGGGACAATATCATCAGTTTCCCATGCGCGCCATGGCCGAGAATCACCCACGTGTAAACTGGGGACAATGAAAGTGGAGAATCAAGATAATTTGACGAGTTAGAAGGTTGGTTAGTCGCTCATGTCCGTATGTGCCACGCCACGGTGTGGTTCTATTTTGCTTTGAGATATTTTACACTGTAAACATATGGTGATTTGCACTTTTCATATTCTACTGGAGTACTTGGAAGAAATTTACTGTAGTGCTTTGGCGTTGTTTTACGACATGTTCGAAAGATTATCACAGGGGGAAAGCTCCACGGTGACGAAATACACTAATAGTGGAGTTCTGTGTCTCGACAGGTCAAAATATTACGTGCTTCTTATTGAGTGTTTGTCGGGTAAAAATAACAAGTCAAACCATGTAATCTTCACACTATGGAGTTGTAAATCGTACTGGTAATTTGATAGCTTAACCGCTATTTTGTAGTACAGAGTTATTAAAATTTGTTTTCCATATGGATGATTCCTTGAAGAAAATTCGGGTTCCGTTTTAACAAATACCTTGACTTTCGAGAAGTTGGGGGATTCTATTGTGGAGCCAAATCAAAAGACTAAGGACTGGCCTATGCGATTGAAGAACTAGGATCGTGAAATAAGGTTGTCACTTTGCTCCACAAGATTACCCGCATTCATATTTTTATGGGACAGTTTCTTTATTTAGTGCGAGCTTTTCGGTAGGCACCAATTGCATCTCGGATCTGCATCATGGGAATGTACGAAATATCAAGCAAGAAGATACGAAGATTTTCCCTGGCAAAGCTCATGCTTGAATCTGATGATGATGATTCCAAGAATAACGGCAAATAGCCGTCCGGCATGAAGCGGAAGTCCCTAAGATATAAAATGGAGGACTCTTCTACAACAGTATCTTTTTTTTCTCAACCAACTTTTCGGTTTACCACACTCTTTTATTTGCTTCTTCCGTGCGATTTTTCGACGTTTTTCGACTAATCGATCACATTCATTTCATTCAATTCTTTTAATTTATCAATTATTTTAAGACCACAAGTCTATTTTACACCTATCTTTCAGTCGTTTCCTAAACCCCAGCGATTTAACTCTCACAACTCCTTTCAAGTCAATAACATCAGCAAAATGCTCTTCAACAACGTGGTGATCATTGCCCTGATGGCTGTTTCTGCAGTAGGTTCCTCCAACATCCCTTCTCTGCTTATAGACACAATAATCTGACGCCACAATAGATTGCAACTCCCATGCCGGACCCAAAGAGAGGCGGCAGAGGCAGCAAAGGCTTAGGGGATGGTGGCTTCGGAGGAGACAGCGGCGATAGTAGCAAACTATTCAAACTCAAACTCGGTGGACCCAAGAAGAAGAAGAACAAGAATGACGCAGGATACCACTGCGTAAACTCTTCCGGAAGATTCACTATCAAGCAAGTCTGGGCACTGAAAGCGATGGCCACCGGAGGAACAGAACCCGGATTGAGCTCGTAAGTCAAAAGTCCTTCAACCATCACAACCAAAATAACCCTCGAACTTGGTTCTTCAGATATCCCCACCAGTTCTTTGGAATGCAAGGAGATGGAGGAAGCGCAGGGACACAACTTAAATTCATCGGCGCCGATTCAAGATGCAACCAGAAGAACCCGGAATTATTGGAGTTTCCAGTTGCCAAGAATGGTAAATTGATAAACAAGAATACCCCAGGGGGTGCAAAAACTCCTGTTAGAGTCGTATACCTCAAGAGCGACCCAAAAGTTCTTTGTGGTGTGATGACACATATCGTTGAGAACAAATTGACCGGTCGTGGAGCGGGCGACTACAGAGTCTGTGATATTTCGGTTAAATGAGTTGGCAAACGGGTTACGGCCAAGGTGGTTAATTAGTAGCGATAGACTCCCCGTTATTCTGTTCCATTTTGGAGTACTAGAAGTAGTAGCCTGAGTAGAATAGTTTGAAGTGGACTAATTGATACTTTGAGCTACCGTGCAAAGTCGATGCTAGGACATGAATAGTCGGGGGGAAAAAACGTGAACATTGTTAAAACTGCTCCACCTGGCAGGCACTTCGGTGCAAATTGTCACTATCACGCTATCTGGTATCACTTTCTTCCGTACAGGTGTAGGACTTTATACCGAAGGTGTTATGATACAACCAATTTGAAGTTACAAATTCTTTTTTCGGTTAAACCGTGTCGAATCTCAAAGTGTCCACCGACAGATGATTTTAACAATGGAGTATGTAAGAAATACTTACTACACATTGCTAGTGTAGCTATGCGTATTTTACTTATTTGATCCTAATAATATTCGCTATGTTTTACGATACTAAGCTATGAGAAATCTTTAAGATTCAATTTACCCGGGTACACATAGTGTACATAGGAAAAAGACGTTTCCTTTGCCTACCAACCCACCAATGGATTTTAACTTAGTATTTTTAAGATTCCTTGAATCATAAGTCTCTTGAAATCTTAAACTCTATAGATTGCCTAGATATTTTATAGACATTAGTGTGAGAGACTACAAAGAAATGTCTGGTCTATATGATAGCCTCCCTAATCAGATGGAAATTAAACAGATTTAACACTAACCGAGGGCGTGGGAACGGGAAGTCCAATCTTTCGGAAATCAGGGCTCGAAAAGATTTACCTGGTTATTATTCGTCTATTCCTTCAGCATATAAGCTGTTTATAAGTAATATCCAGGTACCGCTTAAGTAATTAGGCGGTTTTTCAGATACGGCAAATGTGGGTGTTTTATTAATCCTGGTTATTCTTCCATTGGGAGAACAGCTTTTCAAATTTGGGTACATCAAATCCTCCATAACAGCTTGATGACAAGTGATAGTGTGAATACTTAAACCTCTACTTTGGTATTAGTTCATTCAAGTCAATGATTGGGTCATAAAGTTCTATTCTGGTCTAAATGTGACACAAGAGCAGCTCTGTATTATGAAATATTTACTTCGAACCCAAGTGCTCACCCCTCCTTTCGACTTCCCTCCTATTTTATTAGCCCAGGAGAACAATCCCCTCATTTCCCCAACGAAGAATGTAAGTCCCGGTTTCCGACTAAGACTGCTCGGTCTGAGTCATCAAATATGGTCTCGTAGTGAGTCCCCAGTTACAAACACCCGATCCTCCACAATTCCCACTCAAATTATCACCAACTTTAAACTTGCCCTCGCCCGTGAAAGTTCTCGTGTAAACCATCCCCAAAACCGTGACATTATCCACAAGCTTGAACTCCAATCCAAAATTCGTCGTCGCACCGGTTCCCGTCTCTCCATCACCAGGCAATAGTTTCATAGTCCAATGCCCGAATCTAATTGGGGTACATGGAATTTCTACACCAAGAGGTATATCATCCCTACTCAGCCATTGCGCGCTGCAGTTCGCGGTACTGGATGGGAAGACTGCTGTTCCGGTTGGTGTTTGGGCGACTGGTAGAGTGTTTAGGTCTACTATTGTGGCGTTGAGGGTTAAATGGAGGTCGTTTCCTGGACGCCCGGAGGGAGAATGGGTGTAGAGGGTTGTGATTTGCCATGGTTGGAGATCATCGCGGGGAGTTTTGATATTAATAGCTGGGGACGCAGCGATGGTGACGGCAAAAAGAGCGACAATTGTTGAAGAGAGCATTTTGAATGAATTTCTTTTTTAGCGATTGGAGGTTGGAGATTAGAGGTGAGATGGTGAGAGGCGTTCGCACGAAGGGCTTAAGTATGAATTGATTGAAGGATTGCAGTGTCGCAGGACAATCTTAACGTATCATTCATGAGGCAATATTCAGGATGCATCGGTCAACCCAACCTAAGCATATTTTCACGAGATTGTTCGTATATGCCAGAAACGCCTCAATAAGCGATCATCACTTCAAGAATACGAGGAAGAATACCAATGAAAATCTGATACATTGGAGAATCACGAGTGCCAAGAATCTGATCGGGTATTTGTGCTTCAATAATCCAACGTCGTCAAAATCTTGACACATGCAGATCAACTGTGCCGTCCTCGTGTAACTAAGAATACAAGAAATTGACCTACGAGAAACCAGCGATTTCATGTAAAAGCTACGACGGGTGTGGATCGTCTCCCTTTGCAACGAGCTTACTACTGTCATCATATCTACTGTACATGTACAGCTGACAATGCAAAGTAACAGAGAATAAATTATATCAAGGGAACCTGGAGGGTTCTGAAGATATGATCAGGTGACAAATCTCGTGACATCCCGTGAGGAATGGAATTATGAGAACTGTAATTAGAATTCCATGTTACAGAAAAACATAACTAATCATACCATGTCTGGATTTCGAGGGTGTCTGGAATAATGTTTGTAAATAATATCCCTGATACTGTACAGTAAAGCCCAAACGCCTAAGTCCGAGAACGGTAGAAAGCGGTGTCCGTAATCCAGTTTCCAGCTTTTCTACTCGTAACCAGTACCAGGTAATAGTTAGTACGCATTCCTACTGCGCTCTCGCTTATAGTCAGCGGAAGTAAGTGTATTACAGAAGTAAGTGTATTATTAGGCGTGTATATACGGCTCTTAACTACGATATAGGGCTACTTCTACTAGTTAGAAAAATATATAAATAATATAAATTTATAGCTATAATTAAGTACTATCTTATATTAAAAGACTATATATTTTAAAAACAAGTTATATATATTATAAAGAGGTTTTAGTATATATTTTATTAGAGCGCTAAGGTGTCACGAATCACGTGTTCACGTGATACTTGTCATAATAAGAGGCGCAACCCTCGACAGGCACATTCAGGTTTCTTATAGCAAATAGGGATCGCTTAGGGTAGCTAAGTGTAACGAATACTCAAACTGGCTAACTAAACTTGGCTGGGTGTTCGCTGGTTGGTATGCTATGATAAGAAGAAGACTATCGGGTTGTTCACTTGGAAGTGAACTCGTTACTTGTATCAAAGATGTCAAAGTAATATGATAAGAT